CCGCCGGCAGCCGCCCCCGCGGCAGTAGGCGGCGGCGGGGCTTCCCCGCGCACCCGCCTCGACGTGGAGACGCCCCCTTCCCGCATCAGACTCCGCCGCCCGCCTCCTCCTCCTGGTGGCCGCCGAATCAGGCCGGAGCGGCCCTGGATCGGGGTTGGCTCCTCTATGGCGGCTGGTGGGCCGGGGATCGCCGGATCCGCCCGGATCTGGCCGGCGCGGCCCTGCTTCGTCGCCCGGCTAGGGTGTTCGCGGCGTGGTCTCCCTGGTGGCGGCGATGTGGGTCGTTCTCCGTGTCTTGATGGGATGTGCGCGGTGGGTGGATGCCGGGGCGGCGACCTCGGACGGCGTGGACGGCGTGGCCTCTTGACGGGCGACGGCCGTGGGAGCTGGTGGTCCGCGACTTCGGCTGTGCGGGCGGCGAGGTCTCGGTGGATGTCTACTACGGTGGGTCGGGGTGCCCCGTCACCCGGCGTGCCTGCTACGATGAAGTCCGATGCCTTCTTCGGCTGCGGGCGCTCCCCTGGCCAGGTCTTTGGCCGGGTGGTTGGGACGGGGGCGGGATCGGGGGAAACCCTTGGCCATCGGCGGAGGCCACGACAATGGCGGCGCCTTGTGGGCGTCGGTTCCCTTCTTGGAGGCCTTGTCGAGGTCCTATCCCGTCTCTCACTGTGCTCTTCATTTGGGCGAAAGCTCTAGTTCCCCTTGCGGGCGACGGCGTCGTCCCTTCGTCGCGCTCCTTCTTGAAGGCGTCGCCTGGGGTCCCTGGAAGCACGGTGGGCGCTTCGTGGTGCGTGTGAGGTGTTTGGCGGCGGCAAGGTGTGCGGCGATTTATCTATTCTACCGCTGATCTTTGTCCTGTGGTAGCGCTCCATCTGCTTGGTGATGTTCTTCCGTAGGTGGTGGTCGTCATTTGGCGTCATGGTGGCGTTGATGGCGGAGGGCCTGCCAAGGATGGCACCTCAATCTGCTTGGAGATGGACCTGTGGAAGATGGTGGAGACGACACCTGTGAGTGCGTCAGACCGGTTTATGCCCCAGACCCGGTATGTGGCTAGGCTAGGGATTCCGGCTTTCGATGTTAGGTTTAGGTGAGTGGTCTGGGTAGGGGCCCAGCTAGCACCCCTTCATCATATGGATAGGAGTAGCGGCATATGTTGCCTAGTTGGTGGATTCAGGCTTATTGTTGTAACACTTTGTAAGGTCCTCAGGAATAATCAATAAAGTGGCCGTATGCATCTTCCAGATGCAGAGGCCGGGGGTCATCCTCCTTTTCTAAAAAAAAATATGAAATACTGGCAACCTCCCCTCTGCAAACATCCGAAAAGGAAACAAGAACCAATTTTTCTTGAACACGACTAATGAAAAGGAAATCCAAATGTGTAATTCAGAGAAACTTTTAGAGCTTACTTACCCGTGAATAGTAACAACTTCTGTACCTCCTCCCTGGATTTTCGTCGCTCCACGAGATCCACATGGCTGCTTTCTTAGGCGGCCTGCATTCAAACGGGTCATATGGCTCATAGTCTAGCGGACCTTGCCGGTACCTTATCGGCGATCTCACTGGTGCACCTTGAACTCTACTAGCGGAATAATGAGATCGTGAGGAAGAAGAGCTAGAGGAGGCCATTGGAGGGACGAGAACAACTAGATGTGGCTAAACTACTTGAGAGGCTGGCAAGGAGGAAAGGGATACTTATAGACAGATGCACTCAACCAGCAACGGTCAATACCATCTGGCGTACTACACACGCATCCAACAACGGCTATTTCAAAATTCAAACAAGGAAAGGAAGACGTTGTACATGCGCATGCAATTTTTTAATCAGAAGCCATGCATGGCTTGATTCCTTCACAGGGAGGTTCGTTGACAGCATCAACTTAACTCACATATTACAACCAAAATGATTAAAGCAACCCAAGTTCGTCCTGGAAATCACACTTCAACCTCGCTAATCCATCAAAGCGTCCGCACCACCAAAATGATTATCCTGCAGGTTGCATCTAACCTAAACCCGCGGACAAATCCGACGCCTCGCTGCTTCAAGAGCTACTCTTCCATTGTCACTTGCTCCACGATTCCTTGACGAGGAGCAGAATTTCCTTTGGCCACCATAGTCTCGTACAACATCCTCCTCCTCCTGGCCGGCAGACCAACCTAATGCAAGCCAACAAGTGGAACTTTGTTGTCAGATTTTTTGAAACTGAAACATGAGATGCAAACTAATGTTTTTTGCAGCCCTAGCCTTGTACCTGTGGCACATCGTGCTCCAGACGTGTACCATTGAAGTTGTCAGCGTAGTAAGCAATATAACCGGCAGACTCCCCGCTAAAAGAAAACAAGAAATGCATTAAACACTGACAATGATCTGTTACTTTTGTTTTGTCATTACTATTACTGGAGACATTACCTGCCGCATGCAGCGTGCGTGTTCTTGTTGTACCTCACATGCTAATCCGAGATATCCATGTTCCACCCGTCAGCAAGCATAGCCCCAACATGCTTCAAACCATTAAGCACGTTGCAAATTATGGATGAATGCTTGTCTCTGTATTGATGCTTGGTGTGCTCTGTATAAACTGGATCAAGCACGTTGAGTCTTTTGAGCTTCATGTCAAAGACGTACATGCACCACTCCCTAGTGATTGATATAGGAGCCATGATCTGTAATGGTCAAACAAGGCACAAACAATTAGATTCAACAGCATGCACAAGATTCTCTGCATGAACTTAACCCGAACATTATTTGCAGATAACCACACTTACCATCACGCATAGCCTCAGCTGAAATCCAATGTTCTGGGAAGACAGTAAAGCGCGCAAAGTTACCATAGCCTCGCGAGTGTATGGATTCTCAAGGTGCAGCTGGTCCAGAGCAACAAACATCATGATCAAAAAGTTAGATGAGTATGCCACACAAATTTCAACCTAACAGCGTAAATCTGTAGTTTTATGGTATTACCGACACATCAGGCGATACAATCCCCCTCCATAGAGGAAGGCCAACACTCTCCATCATCATAATCTGCCTCTCATTGAAGCCACGAACCCATGCCTCCATACCATTGTAACCCATCTCTTCATTCAAACTGCATTGGTTCTTCATTTTGTTACCATCTAGCTTCAACGGAGTTGGCCCACTGGTGGAAAAAAGGCCTTTGGTCGCGGTTCGCAACTGCCATTAGTCGCGGTTGCGCAACCGCGACCAAATAAGCGCGACTAAAGCCCCCCACCTTTAGTCGCGGCTGCTTAAGAACCGCGACTAACGGCCCGTCCACGTGGGCGCCAGGCGGCCGTCGGGGCGGAGGACCTTTAGTCGCGGTTCTTCTGGCCAACCGCGACTAAAGGCCGCCACAGGTTTAGGGTTAATTATCAAATTTTACCGTTTTTGTTAATTATCAAATTTTACCGTTTTTTTTGTTAATTAACTAGTTAAAAAATTCTCTCCCTCCCTCTCTCTCTCTCTCTGCTCTCTCTCTCTCTCTCTCTCTCTCTCTCTCTGCTCTC